CTATCTCTCTAACATTGTATTCTTCAAGTCACCGTGGTCAACCATTGAACTTGAGGGAGTAGTCGGCGTAAATCTAAACACCCTATAACAAAAAAAATCTACCTTAAGTACTATTTTACCCTTATAAATAAGTTTAAATACCACATTATCTTTCTATAGTTAAATATTTAAATTACAATCATATCCTTATGTATTTAAAACTTTAAATTACTTTCTAACATCTCTTTTAATTCTCTATTATTTTTGTATAAATATCAATATCTATAAAAAAAATTTAATTGACTACGTTTTCCTTAAAAAATATATGTTAATTATTATATTTTTCAATTTTGTTTTGGGGGGTGGAGGAGGGAAGTATTATAGTTTTTAATAAAGTGTTCAAAAACTTCATCAATAGATCTTTAATCTTTTCAAATATATAGATAATATTATGTCTATATATATGTGTATTTTTTTTCATCTATACTATTAATAAAGAATAAAAATTTTGTATTAGCATGAAAAACTTTTTATTCAATATTTTATTCTTTTAAACAATTTCAAATACTACACTATCATTTCGTAGTTGAATATCTAAATTAACATAATATACTTACGTGTTTAAATCTCCAAATTACCTCAAATATCTCTTTTAATTCTCTATTTACTATGTATAAATATCAGTTTACATGAAACATTTTAATTAACTACATTGTCCTTAAAAAATGTATGAATCACTATAGTTTTCAATAAAACGTTAAAAAATCTTCAAGAAATTTATCAATCTAATATTACTTATTTTAAATATAAAGATAATATTATACTTACATATGTGTATTTTTCTCATCCAAAATTTCAACAATTCCATTTACATGATAAAAAAATAATCTTTTACATAGTTTTTTTTAAAAATAATTTCTTTTAAATTAATATAATTCTTCAATCACAATATATATTTTAGAGTTAATAGTACTTTTAGTCACTGAAATATAAATATTTTATCAGTTTGGTCTTCGTTGCATCAATTTTATCAATTTGATCATTAAAGTATTTAGTTAATGTTTAAATGATCCATATACAAATAGTCTGTTAAGTTTTGGAAAGAAGTGATCACATGTTGGTCGCATGATACTATTTGACGGAATGACACTTCTGTCAAAAAACTTAATGGATTATCTAGTTAGAGACCAATTTAAATAATAAAATTTATATATTGAGGACTAACCTGATAAAAAAATATATATTTTAGAAACCAAAAGTATTATTAATCGTTTATTTTATCCCTATTAACCTAACTAATTTTTAATTATAGTAAGCATTAATTAGAATATTGATAATTATTTTTATTTTAGTCAATCAATTATAAGATGAAACCTAATCAAACGAATTTTAAATGAATTATTTTTATGTTTTTTTTTATAATTAGAACAACATATTGCAGGGAATAGATATTATTTTTTTAAATTCTATAGTATAATATGAGCAATAAAAATATAATTTTGAAAATTAAGATAATATTTAATATAGGCACACATATACCTAATACTTTTTATTAATATTTTGTATACGAAAATTATAAACGTACGACGCACGTGATGCATTACTAATATCAATAAATCCCAGTCCCTCGACACAAAAAAACAACTTCATCCTACTAGACCAAAAGGGGCATCTTTACCAATTTGGTCATCACTTCATATTTATCTTTTTGTCTTCATATGTTGGAAGTATCATTTGACTTAACTCCAAAATATGTCCCTACATGATCTCTAATTAGTTTTTCAGTATTATTGTGCTTTTCTATGGCCCTACTTGCCTTGTCTCTAAGAACTTGCAAGTCTTCACACCCTTCAATATTTCACATTAAGAATTTAAGCATAGTCCGCTAGAATCTAAAGCCAATGATGGCTTTAAGCCCCATGAAAAAATAAGGCATTTTATTATGTACTATAGTTCAAGTTAGTTTTTATATTCGATAAGAGTTTAAATTAAATAAAACAATCTTACAGAAGTCTACATTTGGGGGAAAAAAAAGACCAAGTTCAATTAATCAATTAATACACACATTTGATCTAACAAAATTGAGCCACTATCATTGTAATCCATTTTTCAAAGAGTAATAATACTGAAATCTAAAAATTTGATATAATAATTTGATCAAATCATGCGACAATTGGCATAACCTGATAATATTATTATAATTATCATTGTTTGACTTTTTCATTGAGATGATAATACATGTCACATCATTAAGTCAAAGTCATATCATATTTTTAGGTCACAATTTTATTTTATTTTTGTCATGTAAATTATAAAAACTAGAAACCATCACCAACTCATTACTTTCTCTCTCTCTTTTGAACACTCAAATTTTTGTAATAGAGGTACTAAATTAGATATTAAAGTTAGATTCATTTTTAAGTTAATGTTTTGCTTACAACATATTACTTACCTTACCTTTAACAATTACTTCAATAAAAAATTTAAATATTAAATTGATAAAATATTACCTTAAATTGATTGTGAAATAATAATGATTTAAGTAAATTAATCATACTATTAACTAAAAATAATATGTTATGATTAAATTACTATATATATTTAATTAAAATTTTTATACTTTAAAAAGTTTTAAAAAATCACTTCAAAAAATATAAAAGGTCTCACTTATATCTATCGCTTTAAGCCTCCAATAATCTTAAGTCGATCATGAATTTAAGGTTATACTCAAGGCGTAGTCTGGTGTTGATAAAAATGAGCTATAAACGTAGACATTTTAAGTTTAAAACTTGTCAATTCTATTAATGCTAGGGCGTAAGAGATTTATTTCTAGTCAATTCTCTAGTATCAGCATGAATGCTTACCTTTAACCAAATAGAAAAGAAAATTCTTTGAAATGCGTGTAAATTTAGGAATAGTAAAATGGGCAAGGAAAAGAGAATTGAGGTTTATTTTATCCTCTTCCCATAGTAGAAAAATGGGCAAGGAAAAGAGAATTTAGGAATCGTAATCATTTTTCCACGTCAAATGTAGGTTATGAGCTGAAAAAACTTTTATACATGAATGCGTTTGACAATTATTGTTTAAATTTTTGGATTAAGATTGATTTCAAAACTATATATTTCTCACTCTCGTAGAAAATGGTATTAGACTACTACGACTTGAGGTTCATTGTTGTGTGTCACGGGGAAGGATTGTTAAAGTCACGGTGAGTGAATGGTGATTAAATTTTTCGATGAGGGTGGATTTCACTATGTCTTTTGGAGCTTTGGATGTGTCGATGATCTCACTAACGAATTGGCATTCTATATAGGGAATTTTTGAGTTGTTGATGTACAAGTATTTGTACTCTTGCATTTATTTGGTGTTGTAGAGAGATTAGAGTTAATAAACTTGTGGGTTACATATAATAGATCTGTTTGGAGTTGGCTAACAACGTTAGTTTTTTTTGGTTTCAGAGGCAAAAGTTTGGTTTGTTTGGACCCAAATTTATTGGGCGACTTTTCCATCAATTTTTTTTTGACAAAAACATTTTTTCAGCAAGAAAAAGCTGAAAATTGAGGCTTATCCGGGGGCTTTCAAAGAAAAGCTGATTCTTTCATAAGCACTCCAAAGAATTCCAAGAATTTTTTTAACTCTAATTTTTTCATTTCATTTTTCAACCTTTGTTTCGCACCAAAAAATGTCAAGTGCAAACGGGCCCATTGTGTTCCCTTTTGGATGAAATCATATGAAATGTTCTTCAATTAGTAACTATAGAACATATTTTGAACTAACTATTATGAAATCGTACAGTTTTTTTCTCTTTTATTTGTAATGATGAGAATTAGACCTTCACCTTACTTCCATTCCACCAATGATATGATTTGAATCTTGACGTGCTCATTTAAGTAGTAATCTCACCCTCATATTCGATTGAATCAAGAAACAAGTTATTATAGTTATACATCCCTCTAAATAGTGATATCTACGTGTTTCAATCCCTCCAAAACACAATTTTAGTTTTTCTCAATAGTAAATCATCGTTGTATATTTTATCTATTTTCGTATAGTATGTCCCACTTGAACTCATAAGAAATTTAGTATCATCGAAGAAATTCGAGAAAAAAAATATAGGGTCAACCACACAACCATAGACTATACAACATGACAATTAGAGAATAATCAGATACTTGCAAGAAATGGGTCTGGCAACTCCGTTGGACCTCCAAATTCACTTCCTTGCCCTTTACTTGATGTCTTGTCTTCCATTCTACTGTTTATGCATAGTCTGTAGCTTAACATTCAAAGGCTACTTTTGTCAACCACACAAAAAAAAGTTCAGTTATATGGCCCTCCACTTGTTTGAAAAAAGGACAAATAGAGGTATACATGGAGGAAAGTCTCTCCCGATGCTGATATATTCTTCTCTTTCTTTCATTACTCTATTTTATTTCTGTTTTAATCTATACCAGTCAATATCAAAACCCAAATCATTGGGATTTACCCAATTCTCCACTATGTTTTCAATTCATAGAGAGAGAGAGATAGTGATCCTCATGCCTCTTCCAGTTTCACACCAGAAATTTCATTTCCCATCATGAATTGCTTTGAGATCATGCGCTCCACATTTAGTTAGATAGCAATTCTTTTATCATTTTTCTTTCTGCTTTCTTGAAATTAAACTCTCCCTTGCTCAACAGCAAGAAAATCTACACTGCAGAAAGAAAACACTGTTCACAGATTCTGAAAATCTCTCTCTTCATGCCTGCTTCATTTATATAGGCCCTTACCCATTTGTTGATAAGCTCAAACCACACCCCCCCCCCCCCCCAATAGCAAGAAAATTTCAATTCCAGAAACAAAGTATTGTTCACAGTCTCTGAAATTCTCTCTCTTCTTACCAGCTTCATTGATATAGGCCCTTACCCATCTGCTGATAAACACAAACACCTTCTGAAAATCTATCTTTTCATGCCAGCTGCTTCATTGATATTAGAGAGGCTTTAACTTTTTTTTCTTGAATTGCTTGTGTTTCAAAAATGATCATAAAACTGCACAGTCTCATCCTTTGTCTGCTATGTATTCTTCCATCAATTCTAGTTCATAAATCAACCAGGTGTAACCGATCATGTGGCACAGTTTTAGCCAAGAACCTTCCGTTCCCGTTCGGGTTCTCCTCCGGCTGCCAAATCCTCCTTAACTGCACCACAAACGGCACCATGGTCATACATGACTTTCCGGTCCAGCAAATAACCTCCGATAGCATTCTGGTCAAAATTCCAGCCGAATGTGGCTGTCCGGTCGAAACCCTCCAGCACCTATTTAGTCCAAACTATGCACCCACATCACAAAATGCAATCTTCCTACAGAATTGTACCTCACCACTCACTCCTTGTGAGATACCAACAACAACGGTGCAAACTCATTTTGAACTGCCTGACTGTGTTTCAAAAGATAACATTATTAGCTGCTACTCCGAGCCAAACAACCAGGGTTTGTTCATTGACTACCATAACTTGACCGGAGTCCAGTGCCGGTCACTTTTGTCGGCCACGGTTGTCTCTTTGGGTAATCTTAACAACTCGGCGGTGTTGGTGGATCAGGTTGTACAATTGGGGTGGTGGCTTGAAGGGGATTGTCAGTATCAGTACTGTTCTGAGGATTCAAGTTGTATTACAAATGTGTCACCAATTGATGGCCGGCCAGAATATCGTTGCCAATGCTTGGAAGGGTTCATCGGGGATGGTTATCGGGCCGCATTGGGCTGCCGGAAAGGTATGTTCCAGTTGCCGGAATTTATTTGATTTTACTGTGGTGCATTAAACTTTCAGGGCAAAACATAATTGAACAGTTCTATGATCTAACTCAGTAGATTCATTTTTACACTTTCCAGCCATAACTTCTAACTCTCAGACCCAAAATACAGAAAAAAAAATTAAAAAATCCCCTAGTGTATGTAAATAAGTTTTTCGGGTTATTTGGATCGTAACGATTCAGAGTTTAATATGTTGAATTAATCAAATATTTATGATGAAATTAATCTAATATTCTCAGACTAGAACAAAATCCATTTATTTAAAGTATCAAATATATAACTTAGTATTCATGGAAAAATATTTTGATCTAAATCGATTGATTTGCTTTATGTGACAACCTCGAAATATACACGTTAGAATCTGCGCTTATTATCTTTGGAATTTCCGCCCTTTAGACATCAAGTTTTCAAGTTTAAAATGACACAATAGTTTTGACATTGTAGAACCAGACAACCACCGGTCGATAGTTTGTCGTATGTCTAAGCAATTACAAAAAAATTATACTTTGATCCCTTTAACAATGACCCTAGGTGTTAATTGAGGGTTGGGGTGATAAACAAGCCAAATAAGAGAGTTTAAGCCTTAGCTGGGTGAGCTCGTTACCTACAATAATATTCAAGCTCGGCTTGTTTTTTAAACAAGAGACTCGAGTCAAGCTCAAAACGAGACGAAGTCAAATAGTTCGATTATTTTATATATAAACAAGTCAAATTTTAAGAGTTTGAATCCAAAATTGGCCGAGGGCTGGTTTTTTAAATGTTATAGTTGAGGAGAGTCATATAAGACAAGTATATAGTAAAGGGGGTCAAATTACAATTTGTTGCAAACTTCAACGTGCCATATGGCACCCTCCCATGCAAGGGCGGAGCCACATATGGAGGAGGGTGGACACTTGCCCCTCCGGAGTTTTTCAATCTTTTTATTTATGTATTATTAAGAGTTGATAGATTAGTTATTTTAATACATTTGCTACCCTTGATTTTTAAAAATGTTTATAACAGTCCTAACTTATTTTAAATTTTTGGCAAGTTAGTGGCCCATTACCTCTCCCCCAAAAAAAAGCAATGTTTTAGATTTTGGATTGAGTAAATCAACAAAATAAATGATGATTTCAACTAGTTTTCGCAATATAAAATGAATAATGATTTTGTCATGGATAATGTGGTTTTGTACATTGAAGAGAATTTTAAAAAATTTAGTTTATCATCATATAATATAGACAAATTTTGAGATTTGAAATAACATCGTATTCTACTTTAGTATGTGATTGAGTTGAAATGTAATACCATAAGTTTTTTTATGACTTGTTGTTCATATTTTCTTTATTTTTTGATTTGTTGTTCATATTTTCTTTATTTTGTGGTTTGTTGTTCATATTTTCTTTAATTTAAATGGAAATTGGTTTTACTGTTTTAATAGTAATCTAGTGTTGAATCCTAAAATATTTTTTCATGCTTGGAATTGTTTTGTATAAATTGGTGAAATTTTCTTTTCTAATAGTTTGCACCCTCTAATAAAAAATCCTAACTCCACCCTGCTCGCATGTGCCGTATGGCAACCTAGAGATCATTTACTTGGTCCACAGATTGCAACAGTTAACGGTACTACTACATTATAATAATCTATAATCACATCTAATCCAACCAGTCATCCCAAGTTTTCAATTGAGGTAGAAAAAAAATAATCCTTCTCCTTAAAGAACCCAAATCATACATCGTACTCTTGATCATCTTCGACCAGATTCTCCCTGTTTCTGGCCAAGCACCGCCTTGACCGCTTTAAACTCGTATATGCTAATTTCAAATCGATTCTGTGTCAGATTGGCAGGTCATATGGAGAATCTCCAAACATAGACCAGACATTCAAATTGAAGCAAAAGAACAAAGATATCTATTCCATTTGAAGGAGACAAAAAAATGGTTCTCCTCAAAGACGTCAAATCATTCATATTACTCTTGATCTTAATCTTACCGCTGAGTGTCTCTGTTCATGGCCAACTTCTGTTCCAATGACACAGCCAACAGCAGTTACATAGCCGACCGGACGTCCCTCTTGGACTCTTTCTCTTCCAGATCAGCCTCCATTTGTTGGTTTTTTTTTATGGAGTCTAGTTTGTATATGTAATCCGGATGATGACCCGACCCGAGAAAATTTTTTTGGGCCCGTTATACAGCCCAGTGCGTAGGACATATAAACCCTGTTATTTTGGTGATTAGGGTTAGTTGTGGATTGTACAGCCGCTCTCTGTAATTCAACTCTCTCAATAGTGAAATCCCTGCAGCTTCGTGGACGTAGGCAAATTGCCGAACCACGTAAAATCTGTATCTCTTTCTTTCTAGCTTTTTATTGCTTTATATTCTTGATTTGTTCTTCGATTGTGTGTGTTTGTTAGTGAATTTAAATCGTGTTAAATCCCAACACCATTGACTTCTACACTGATACCTTTAATAACATCTATGGTCTCTTCCTCTGCAGTGGCGATGTAAATGCCTCTACCTGCCAGAACTGTGTCACTGGCTCCAGGGAAGATATTATCAGGGTATGCCCATCAAATAAATCAACAATTATATGGTATGATTTATGCATGATTCACTACTCCAATGTCGACTTCTTCGGACAGGGACAATCTCTACCTGCGATCGTATATTATAGTACCCAAAATTTTAACTCAACAGAGGCAGTTAAGAGTTTCATAACGTTTTTGGATTTCGGATTGTCTGATTACAGACAAATTGCACACTGCAAATAGCATACCTCTGCCTAATAGCAATCAAGTTCGGTATGGGATGGTGCAGTGTGCCAGACATATAAGCAAAACAGCTTGTGGGGATTCTTTGAATCAGCTTGGCATGGCTATACAGCAAGGACAGGTGGGGTGGAGAATTTTGGGAGCAAGTTGCTTTATAAGGTATGAGGAGTTCTCCTTCGCTTTGCAATCATCTGCTGCTCAGCCAGCACCGCCACCAAGTCCCACCACGGTACCTCCGACTAAGCAAGGTGAGTCTAACAGGTTGAGTGATGAGGATCATACAGGAATTGGATAGATATTTTAGATTGATCATGAGTAATTTGTATACTTTTAATATTTATTTTTTAAGTAATTTCTTTTAACTTTTGAAAGTTTATTTGTCATTATCTATTTATTTTAAGATTTTAATTTTTCTATATAAAAGGATGCATGTAAGAATTTTATTTAGATTAGACTTTGATTATTATTGATTACTGATATTGTTTTCTCCTCAAATTGTCTCTCTTTTCTCATCTCATTTTTCTTCTCTTCTCATCTCTAATTCTTTTCTTTCATAGTCTACATCAATTTGGTATCAGAGCTATTACGATCTACATCAATTTGATATCAGAGCTCAATTTCGATTCATACAAATTACAAAAAGCACATCAATACTATTTGTCAAAAAAAAAAAACATTGTTCATCGTGCGCATTGTTCACTGTTCTTCGCGGCATTGTTCATCGGTAACACTATTCATATTCATCGCGGTACTGTTCATCCAGCTAAAAGAATTATAAAATCACTCCCAAAAGTTTCAAAAATTACAGAAATATCATTAGAAGTTCTAAAATTACGGAAACATCACCAGAAGTTTCAAAAATTGCATAATCATCCCCATAAAAATTTCTAAATTTCAGAATTCCTTAAAAGCAAAGCTTGGTTTATGGTTTGCATAATCCTATAGAAATTTGAAAATAATATTTTTATTCATTAAAGAAATAAAAAATTCGCAAAGGGTTCAAATCATTTGTCAATTACATTCTTGAACTTGTTTTGTTGTCATTACATTGTTTCAAGACTCATTCATGAGTATGTATGATGTCTCTAATCCACACATTTACTCTAGTTTAAGAGTCCCTCCTCGAAGTCTTTATCATAGCAAGTCTAGGTTTGTCAACAAGGATTTAACACCTATTGTCAAGTCAATTAAAAATCCTTCTATATTTTGTGGTATTTCAAATCCCAATCAATTCTTGAATTGGATAGCTAATTTAGAAGAATATTTTGATTGACATGATATATCAGATTTTCATTGCGTCCGTTTTGCTAAATTAATGTTGGTGGGTTCCAACAAGTAGTATTGGTAACCAATCCAAAGAAATTAAGACCCCTTAGGAGAATCACCTATTACTTGGGTTGAAATGAGATATAAATTGAAAGAGAAGTATTTGCATACTTCCTACATGAATCAAGTTTATAACCAATGACTCAATCTTAAACAATATTTTTCTAGTGTCTCTGATTACTTTGTCCAGTTCGATTATCTCATGTACTTGTGTGACATTGTTGAAGAACCTTAAACAATTAATCAATTTATTCTTAAATTGAGACAAAAAAAATAGTTGGGAGGTCAAGTAATACACTTTTAATACGTTAGTTGAAGCCTATCAATATGCTCTAACGTTGCGTTTGGTACGTAGTAATGCTTTTCAATAGGAATGGAATGAGTTTAGAAATTGAATGAACTTGAGAATGGAATAGAATGCGCATTACCATTCCAATGTTTGACAGCTGTTTATGATTAAGTGCTAGAATGAAATGTTCATTCCATTCTTATATTTGAATAAAACAATTTTTTCATTAAGATGGAATCAACTTTAATTAAAATATTCATAGTGACTAAAAATAATTAATAACAATTTTTTTTTATGATTGCGATTGTCTTTAAAAGTTGTTTAAAAAAATTTATAATTAGAAAAAATGAGAATCCATTGAAAAAAATTAAACCCCTATAAATTTTAAAAAATTAGAAAACAAATTCCTTCAAAAAAAAAAAGGTTCACAAAAAGAAATCAAAATAAAAAACTATTCAAAATTGGTTATTCATTTCAAATGAACAACTATAATTCTTTATAAATTCACAAACTATCACAAACTCCCAAAAAAGAGCGAACTTTTCTTTCTTTTCTCTGTTAAGAGAGGTTGGGGTGTTGGGTAGCTCAAATTATATGTGAAAAGTCCCAAAGAGGGGTGAATAG